TTTCATCAAGTCTTTGGAACCTAACTGAAATGGGATTTTAGGTTTCACAGTTCATTTAAGAGAAAAATTAACATTACTTTATGTCATAAATAAATCGCTACAATCCTTTTACGAAACCATTCCGTGGGGGTTTGTAACCGTTAAATGCATATGATAACTAACATAGATGTGCATCTAACGGGTACAAATCCCAACGAAATAGTTTCGACGGGATTGTAGCATTTTTCATAAGAATAATAGTGTGAATTCAATTTTTTAATTTTTTTCAATAGTCCATGTCCCATATCTTCTTTATAGATTCGGAATTTTTCGATTCTATGTACTAGTTTTTAACATTTAATATATATATTTCCAAATTTTTCTATGAAATTTACATTGGTTACAAATATTAAAATTATAAAAATATTAGAATCAAATTAAGTAGCACATGAAATTGCCTCTTTAACCATTACATATGATTCTTCATCACTTCAGAACTTTTTATACAATGCACTTTCAGAACCAAATTTAATTAATCACCAAAACTTAAAAAATGAAAATACTTCATTCAAAACGTCCAGCTATATCCACTCTCTGCACCCGAGGGGAATAGAAGACGTTAAGCTCGCCATATAATCCACCACAAAGGTAGCCTCTCGATGAACGTGTCGGATCTGGATGGTCTAGTCCCTTTGAGTCAATCTACGAATAGCTATAGCAATTGGGTGTGTGGTTTGGCCACGATCTTATTGGGGTGTTTTACCTCCGTCAAGTTCTCGTTACATATCTATGGAGAAACTTCTATTGCAAAATGGTCCACAAACAAAACGTATTTGCACCAATTTGAAAGTTACTTAATTTTAGACGCCCAAAATGTCAATCATGCGCAAAAGAAAAGGTTGGCCGACTTATGTAAATTTCAACCCAATAATACTACACTATTATGATCACCCTTTTATCAATTATTATTCATTAATTAATTATTAATAGCATAAGTCTTTGATGCCCACTTATAATCTTTAATTATTTATTCGTTTAATTTACTTCCCTATCCTTAGTAAAGCATCACTTGAAATGATCACTTAGAACGATAGAATTTATAAGTATTTCAATTATCTAATTATATCAATTAAAAACATTAATTTTTCATAGAGCGATTGAGTTCATAAATCTTGAAAATTGGGATTAAACCAATAAATCCAATTAGACCGTTTTATTTAATCCAATCCGCTCCCAGTTTACAGCTGAAATTGATGCTCTATCTTTTCTAACATTAGTTTGATGTCAGCAAAATACAAATAGCCCAATGGACTAGTCAAAAATAACCTCAGGATTGTGAGGAGTCGAGCCGATTAAGGTGATCGGGAATGGCCAGCTGCATTGCAAGAAATTTGTCGAGAATCTGAGAAAGAACGCGAAAGTTGCCGATGTTAGCTATAGTAGATTAACTGCTCATAATGTAGGGAATTTGGGTGCGAATAGTGATTGGATTCCGGGTGATGCTGGTGGTTTTATGATGGCACTAAGTGTGGGGCTTGGGTTGGCTAGTAACCTCGGGATAGTTTGGGTTGTGCTCGAGTTACTAAGGTAATAGTTTGGGTTGGCTAGTAACCTCGGGATAGTTTGGGTCGTGCTCGATCGAGTTACTAAAGTAATAGTTTGTTGAGTTTGTCACGTATGACATTACAGGCTTGATCTGCATATGTAATGGCATACCAATGAATCCATTTGTTGAGTTTGTCACGTGTGACATTACTGATGCCGATCAAATCGGCTACGAGCTCATGATTCACAAGGACATGTTGACCTCAGCATGGATATCCTGACGACCCCGAAAATCAACAAACTCTCGCAAGTGGTGTGTCGGTTTTGAAAACATTTTGTAGCCTATTTTCGCCGTTGAGTCGGGTGTCTCAACATATATTGCTTTGCTTAGAAAATGTTGTTGGTGAAGAAAGAAGAAAATTTGATGTTCTTCTCACCTTATAGATGTTGGTGAAGTGTTGGAATTTGATGTTCTTCTTACCTCTAAATACACACCTAAATAAATACCCCATTTCTTTCAACTCAAGTTCGACTAATGATTATACAACCATTAGACAGATATACTATTTTATAAATTTGTATATTATATTAAATAACGTCGTAGAGTCACTTTTAAAAGTATAAATATGCATTTATATGAAATAACATGATGAGTTGATTCACCTAACGACCCTCAGACAAATTCTTAAAAAAAAAAATGAATCAATCTCTTGGGCCAATGTCAAATTTTTAAATTCAATTAATTGTAGCCTTAATTAAAAGGCCCTTTTATATTTACAATTTTTTTTAATTTTTTTTTTTTTTTTTA